TTTTTTTTTTTCTTTCTGTTGATATTTTTATTTTCATTAAAATTTTCACTTACATTATAATTTGAAAAAAGAAGATTAATTGGTATAATCCAAGGTTTCAGTTTATATGCATTATAAAATAAAAAAAATTCGGAGAAAAACCAAGATTCCAGATTTGGTATGAGATGACTTAGTATTTCTTCGTTCATTCCCATCCAATCAAAAAGGTTTTTTTTTTGATCGGATCCCCCGATTTCTTGATAAATTGTACTATAAAAAACACTTTTATTATCAATTTGATCAAGAATTTTAGAATTCTTAGATTTAGTTTTAGTATTCTCATTCATGCTAGTACTGATATCGACCCAGGCCTCAATGTCGACTTTTTTTCTAAGACAAAAATGGAGCATTTTCAAATCAAAATATTTTCTATCTGTATTTTTCTCTATATCCTTAATATTCTTTATTCCTAAATTTTTAGTGATAGAAATATTACACCACATGTCAATTAATTCGTCTTTATTTATGTTGTAATTATAAGCATAAGAGAATTCATCGTTCTTATCTTCATAATAAAAAAAATTATATGATAAAACATCATATCTATAGTTTTTTTTTAAATTATCTTTTTTATCTGGCAAGACCAATAAATCGTTTTCAGAATTATTTGTATTTTTGGAATTAATTAATTGTTCTTTTTGATCTGAATTGCTTTTGTTTTTTTGAAAATTGCTATTTTCAACCTCACAATGTTCAGTTACTCTATTTCGCCATTTTTGTGGTACTAATCGAGACCATTTTATCTGAGGTAAATCGTATTGATAATTATTTTTCAATTTTAACCAGTTTTTCCATTGGTTCATTTCAGAATTCGTAAGTTTTTTAGTCTTTAGCTTGGAATGAGCTATTCCTTGGGTTCCAAAATAATCTTTTATTTCATTTTTAAGAAATAAAGATATTCCACGATACTGAAGGACAGATCTTAACTTAGATAAGTTAAGAATTTTTGCTTGGGATAATTTATAAAATACATAGGCTTGTGACAAAAAAGAAAAATCAGAAATAATTTTCGAATTCTTAGTAAGATTACTATTACTAAGAAAAGGCAAAATTTGGTTTTTTATAGTCGAAATTATATTTTTATTTTGTTTATTAATCCTTTCAGGATTTTTTTCATTATTGTAAATGGATTTATCAATCCAAATTTTTGTTGATTCAAGAAAAAGTTGTGTATTAATTCTAGGAATATTAATGATATATAGAAATATATCTACGTATATCCTTTCTCTAAAAAATTTCAAAATATAATTTGATTTACGGATTAATCGAGCATTTCTTCTTTTTAATATTTGACCAATACTTTTTGGCGATTTGAATTTCGTAGTACCATAACGTGTTTGGTTAGGACTAATATTTTTTTTGATATTGTCTTTTGAAATTTTTTCTATTTGATTTTTGATTATCCTTGTTCTATTAGCTAAATCTTTCATTTTTTGTTCTGTCATTGAAGAATTTGTCCGATTTAGGAATCGGGTTTGAATGGATGATTCAATAGCCATATGCCTATTGATTATCGAATCTTTTTCTTTTTTTCTTTCACTAAATTCTTCTCTCAATCCAAATACTAGAATTGGATTTACGGTTGACATTTTTTTTTT